GAGATGGTAGCTGACAAACGTTGAAGGTCTCTGGGTGTAGGTGTCGAGGAGAGGAATTTGAACGAGGGGTGGGCGGCGGTGATTCGAGACGGCGGCAGTGTAGAGGGAGAGAAATTTGAAGGAGTGGGTGGGTGTCGGAGGGCCAGACGGCGGCGGTGCTGACGGAAATGGGGAAGAAGGTGTAAACTTTGGAAATTACAATTTGGTCCTCTAAATTTAGGTTATTTATAATTAAATTAGTTTGATTTTTTTTTCTTTTTTGCTTTATTTTTTATTCAGGGCAATTCTGTCATTTCATGTAAGTCAACGAGCCAGTGCACACAAAGGGGCGGTGGGCTGACTAAAACACAACATAGGGGGTTATATGCTAATTTATTTTTCCGGGGGGGTTTTTTGCTTCCGAGAAATAACACAGGGGGGTCTATGCAATTAACTCCAAAAAGTCAAGAATAAGACAAACAATATTAATTAATAGAGGTGGCCTAGCTATAGTTGGGGTGAAGTTATTAGATTTGTCTTAATTATGTTACCACTTTCTAGATCCATAATCGAACTCGTCACACATGTGCATTATTGTCGGTGCAGTTTACACCTCCTCTCGTGTTATTTACTCAGTCATCGCCGTAACAAGTCAATAATTTTAGAGAATAAGTTTTAAACAAAAAAAAACCCTATTAATATTAGTCAATAATAATATTAAGCATTAATTTGGCGATATCGAAGAATTAATTAATGCATGCCACCACAAGTTTTCGAGTTTAATGCAGTTCGAACATAACATAGATATTTACTACCACAAAATATCGTCTCTCTCTATATAAAAAATGATTTTTTTTCCCCTCAAATTTCTTAAATATTGTAATATAAATAATAAATAATTAAGTAAAGCTACTCACTTATTTCCAAAGGTATTGTGAAACTTGACAATGGTTTCATCTTCATGTGGAGTGAAGCTTCCTCTCTTGAGACCTGATTTAAGGTAGTTTATCCACCTCAATCTGCAACTCTTTCCGCATCTCTTCAAACCTTAATTTTTTATATATTTAATTCAAAAAAGAAATTAAATATTATTTTTCAATATATATAGGTACATATATATATATATATATGTATATACCTGCGTTTGTGGGAAGAGATCTCCAAGAGCCTTCACCATTGGCATTTATGTAATTGATGAGCTTTTCATCTTCTTCAACTTCCCATTTTCCTCTTTTTAAGGTTTCACTTTTGTCGCAACAAGCTTTTCTTCCCATTTTTATTATTATTATTATTATTATTATTATTATTACTTTTTTCTTTCTTCCTTTCTATAGTAATAGTAGCTAGTGTGTATTTGATGATTTAAAAACATGGAATAGTTATTATGAGTAAACATACAGTATTTGTAATAGGAAAATACGTACCGTTGATGTCAATTCTATGTGTACCAGGGACTGACACATGAAATTTAATTTTGGAGATGGGGCCTATGCATACATATTACATACACATATGTATATATATGTGTGTGTGTAGTCACGTGCCACTAGATTAGGTGGCTCGTGCCACTTACCATTGCTAGTCAGATTACCAACAGACTTTCTATGTCACGTCCATTTTTATTTTACTCTTTTCACTATTCATAAATGGGTAAATTACAATCACCCCTTGAGCTATGTTCAAATTATGAAAAAACTCTACATGTTCGGTAATTACAATCACCCTCTAATTATAAATCTTCTTGGTATATTATCACTTTTGTACCCGTTTTATCCCATTCGAACCCCACATTTTGAAGCAAGATGATCATAACATGTGTTTTTTGGCTTGTATATAACAGATTATATTGTGATGCATCACTAACTGTATTTTTACACAAAACGAGTACAAACTAGAGCACATTCTACGAAATCTAGATGATTATGTTGAATTTGACACCATAAGAGTGGAGATGTAAGAAGATTCATAGTTGAAGGGTAGATGTAATTATCCAAACAATAGTGGGGTTTTTATAATTTGACCATACCTAAGGGGTTGTTCTAATTTACCCTATAAATTTTAATTAAAAGAACATATATCTAATGAGATTAAATTCTGAACGGATCAGCCGTTATTTAATATAAATCCGATTCCATTAATTTTTTGATATGTGGCACTCTTAAGTCTTAACTCTTAATTAATAAATCACGCTGATTATAATTAGGGTTAGATGGGTTACGGGTTATGCTAGGGTTTTCTTTTTCCTTTTTCTTTTTTTATTTTTTCAATTATTAGAATCCTAATTATATTTTTATTTAAACTATCAGCGTGTCAATCATCTTATGACATTCGATTTTTCTATTAAAACAGATCATCCGATTTAAATTGCACCCATATCTAATATAGTGAATTATTAATAATTAAAATGAATAGGGCTTACTAAATGGATCGAGTAAAACTATCATGTAGTGTGAAAATATTTGGGCCACGTGGGCTGACACACTACAAACCCACCAAACTCACGTGGCCCATAAGTTTTGTTTGCCACAATCCAATCATCACCAAAATAATTCGCACATCATATTACATGTACATTACAAAAATATTATTAATGGAGGGGTTTCTTGCATTACAGATCTTTAATTTACACATAATCACACACATAAATACGTGCGTATAATTCAGTGAAATTTATCAGGGTGGGAGGTGGGAGAAGGAGGAGAACCGTTTTAATTTCCTAAGGGCATTTACGTCAAAAAAGCACGAGCCTCAATTAACAAAGTAATCAATTATAACCATGCACAATAGACGAATACTTGTTCTTGATGAATCTGAACGTGCTACGAATCGACGCCTTCACTTTTCCTTCCACGACGTACGCCTTGTATGAAATAATCCTCCGTTTTCGTTTTACTTCCGATTTTTTATCGTATTTCGAATACGCCCATGAAGAGGAAGAATGGATTGGTGATGTGACGACCGCGGTGGATGGTGAAGAGTTGCGTATGCGATACACGAGATTCGGGTTGTTAGCTTTGATGGCGGAGGCGGAGGCGGTGGCGGTGGCGGTGGCGGTGGTTCTCGTGGGTTCGAACCGTTGGTTTGTCGACCAATAGGAGGAGGCGGATGAGGGGTAACCGCCCACCCCTCTCATTTCCCCCACTACTAATGATTCTTGATTGATGAGAGAGAAGAAAAAAAATATTTGTGAAGTATAATTTTCTAGGAAACGTTGGAAGAGATCGATCTAGATCAGATTTTACTTTTTTTTTATGAGACAGAGGACATCCTTAAATTGCTCCAGTCTCGTATAGTTGCACGTCAAATTAGTTATGATTAATTAAATAATAATATTTTGTTAGATGTTTGGTTAATTACTACAATAATAATATTTTTTCCATGATGTTCTTGGATATGGACGATTTCCAATTTTGTCATAACACTAGACATTCACTAGTGTTGATGTACAACCTTTTTCAGCGTGCCGTGAGACATTGATTTCATAAGCTGTCCTATTTGTACCCCGCCTATTGATGTTTGTACCCTTTCATCCCTCCAACAATATATTCATAATTAAATTTCAAATTATGGGAGACAAAAAAAAAAAAGTGAATTTATTAATTAATTAATTAATTAAGTTGCTTTGCTCTTGAAATAGAAAAAAATGATCTTTAATTAACTAATTAAAAGCACAAAGATCATCATAACAATTCATAGATGAAGATCAACATCCAAAAAAAATGATCTTTAATTAACTAATTAAAAGCACAAAGATCATCATAACAATTCATAGATGAAGATCAACATCCAATCCATCACCGACATCTGTCGAGTACCCGGTCGGCTTCGTGGGCCCCACCTCACCCCTCGCCGCCAGTCGCGGCGGTTGCACCGCCGCTCGAAATCCACTGCGGTACCTCAGGGGTACTCCTGACAAAACACAAGGTACACCACCACCTACAGCATTGTTCTCAGCTACACGTGGCGGGAAGAATCTAGGAGGACTCATGTAAGGAGTGGTGCAGCTAGATGCAGGTGATCGAGCCCCGTGTGGATTGATCATCATTACCCCGGCGAAGTGGGCCCGCTTCGCCCTCTGCCGCTCCTTCTTGTGCGCATTTTGATGCCCGCCTAGTGCTTGCGAGTTTGCGAATTTTCTATTGCAATGCTGGCACTCGAATCTCTTGTTATTCTCTACTTTGCCGCCATTGTTTGTCATGACCGGAAAACCGAAGATTTTCATCACGGAAGAAGAAGACAACGACGAGTGCCTGTGATCCTGTACATCGGGATCACATGCACCTCCTCCATGTGATGAATTCTCCTCCATCAAAATGAAAAAAAAAAAGTTTATTCTCACAATTTGAAAGTATAATTCTTGTATGTATGTGGTGTGTATATATATAGAGAGAATGTGGGGAAAAAGAATATGTTATCTTTTGTGACAGTAGAATGGGACATACATTACATGAAATTAGAAAAAGCAACCACATTTTATTGTAAGTAAAAAGTTGTACCGATAAACCTATTTTTTTTTTTCGTGTTAAACGAAGCTTTAAATTAGTAGATAGATTATATTCGACTTTCTAATTATATCGATTGATTTTACGGAGAAGATGAAGGAGGAGGAGGATCATGGATTGGTGATTGTGCTGTGTGCAAGTACTCATGTGTCGGACGCATTTATGATCCGAATCTTTTCGGAATAATTATATTGACGAAAAACGGTGATTAATTTTATTAGCAAGCTAGAAAAAAACGTACCATCAATGATATCGGACGAAGTCGGGCCGGGCCACGTAAACATGTCTTCCATGTGGAAAAAAAAAACAACTACACAGAGATTGAGCTAGATAGATAAGAATCAACTCTCATTTTCATGACTTAGTTTTCTTTTCTTGTTTGTACATTTTGATCATCTTCCAAAGTACTAAATAATTCTAACTCCTTTGTTGTCACATACAAAAGTTGTCCCACTATGCTTAGATTCATAATTTTTAGTACCAACCTAGACCACATGTATTATATATATATATATATATATATATAAGCCATGATATATACAAGACATAAACTTCTTGATTCAATAAGACGAAAGCTCTAGAAAAGAACGACGACACGCGCTGGTGGTGAAAGGCCTAATCCGAGGAATAGTTTAGCGCAGACGACGTGACTCTATCGTTGACGGAATTTAACGATCAAACTCTATTATCTAATTTCGTGTGTGTGCGTTTGTGTGTATATATATGCATATATGTATATATATGTATATATATTCAGATTATTAGTGGAAGACCATCTTCACTAATGTTAACTTTTGTCAGCACACAGAGGATGTCAAGAGAGTAACATCACAAGATTGCAGGATCAAAGAGATGGTCCACCTAAGCATATCTTGTCACTTCATGCACATTTTATAATTAATAATTTGGTATTTTTTTCATTTTTTAATTATTATTATTATTATTATTTGTTATTATTAATTACTCGTGAAATTATTTTTTCTTGAATATTATTAGAATGAAATATTGTTGCCTTGTGGCTAGAATGTCTAGCTAGATGCCCTACCAATAACTCCAAAGGTGTACCTTTCACATGTGTACCTAGATAAGACCTTGATTAAAAATAAAAATTAATAATATTTGAGGTAATTATAACTTTAGTACTAGAAATGACATGAAAAATGCTTATGCCAAACAAGAAACGAACTCGAACGAGTGGACGGGCCCGTATTTTGTTTCCCCGTTTCTTTACCTAAACGTCGTTTTAATGCGGATCAAGTGATCAACGGACCTAATTAAGCCCATTTTCAAATGTG